CGGAAGAGCTCCCACCCCCACCCCCGCTAAAACTTCCAATGGATGCCTCAAGGACAGGGAAGCTTGAGTATTATTTTACTTCGGTTGGGTCTCCCTAGGCAAGTGTGTTGGCACTGAAACGTTAAATCTCCTGAGGACCGGGTTTGCGTTTGATAAGGATTTCAGTGTTGAACTCTTTGAGGAGCTGTTTCCTGTTTGGAGTTAAACTTCCTTGCTAGCGAGAAAAAATACAAGGCCTTATGTGTTATTTGCTGTGTATTTTAAGGTTTTATTTAGAGTTACAGAAAGCACAGTGTTGCCGCCTGTTTTGAAAAGTTTTGCGAAGTGGTGTAGCAATTTTTTGATAACTAAGTTTGGTGTGGGCGAGGCACCAACTCAGTCCTTTAATAATTAAAAAGCAATTCGAAAGAGAAAAGTTTTTTATAAGTTAAATTATTGTCACTCTAAGACCAAGCATGTTCTGTTAAGAGTAAACCCTAACTGGTTTTGTAGAGTAAATCAGGGGGACGTTATCACTTTTTATAGTTGAGAGTTTATTCTGCTGCATACCATCAAACAATTACTGAATTTAATAATTTATTAAAGTAACAAATGATTTAGAAGCAGAAAAAAATCCAGAGTACTGCTGATGTGGCATCCTCTGCCCACACTTTGTTTTGTGGGGGATGCTTTGAGCACAGTGTTTATGGACACTTGCCTAGCAATTGCTTGGTTTCTTAGACTTTATAATTTTATGTTCCTGCCACCCACTCTTGCTTTCAGGTAACTTTTATACATAAAATGCTGTAGAATTCAGAAAAAGTAAAATAAAACATTTGCTATTTGAAACTTTCCAATGAGTTAGTTTCTAATTGGTTAGTTGAGTTTACAGGGTAATTGTGGGCTTATTCCTCTAAACATCCAATGATAAAACCACTTACTGCTTGGGTGAAAAATGATACTAAAGCATGCAGTTCTCTTCTGTCAAAAATAAGGTGAGAAAATAATTAAGGCTCTTTTGATACTCTGGGGATCATCATTTGTGACCATTAGTTTGTTGCCTTGATCTATTGGAATGTTTGTAAGACTGTTGATTCAAATGTTACATATTCCTTTGCATTTTGAAGTTACTTAAAATAAGCACGTTCTTCCTGCTTTGTGATGGTGTGTGCTTGTAACTGATTTGTCTCCTTCATCTTTTCCCATTTTTCTGGAAGTGTGGATATCATATTAAAATTTTTATTTTGCATAGGGGAAAGATCAGTAGGCCCTTAATTAGTGTGTGAGGTCATTTCTTGACAAAAGTAAGTGAATACCATTTGACATTGGAATACTTATTTATATCTGTTTTGATTGTCCAGAGGGTTTTTCTTACTTACTTGTCTTCTGGTTAGGAAGTTGCCACATAGTTTTGGTAAAGTTTGATGTTAGCATACTCTAAACTTCACTACTCAGAATATATATGTATTTTTTCTGGAGAGAGATTTTTGCTGTAGGGTGTGTGTACTCTCCAGAGAGAGCTATGGAAAGTAAGAAATCACCCCCCACGGGTGATGGCCATGCTGTAATCCCTTCTCTTCCATTCTCCTCAGGAATTTGGGCAGGCACACACAGGCACCTGGCTTGAGTTTTAAGTCATTTCGTCCTGAACTTGAACTGTGTTGACTGTGTTGACTGTGTGAGCGTTCAGTGATGTAACCGTTATGCCATCTGCTGGTCCCTCCAAATGTATTTTTAAAATGTCTGTTACTTGGGGCATTTGTAACTAATTTTGAAGAGTATTTGTGGAACACGTCCATATGAATATATACTTTTAATTTATTGGTCATATAATCATATTCAAATTCTCAAGCAAATTCTCAAGTTTTCTTTAAACAGAGTTTTATTAAAAAGGAAAAAACAATCCCATTCACTTTTTCTTTTTTTTTTTTGGAAGGTTTTTCCTTTAGGCCCATGTGCTCGCCAGACAGAGAGAGAGAGAGAGAAAGCAAGAAATCACCCCTCCCCCCAGGGGCGATGGCCACGCCGCAATCCATTCTCCTCTCAGGATCTTGGGCATGCACTCAAACACACCCAGCATGAGTTTAAGCCACCAGGTCCAGGACTCGAACCGCAGTCGACTACATGGGAATCCAGCGACATAACCATTACGCTAACTGCTGGTCTCTTACTTGGTTTTAATCTCATTTGTATTGTGTTTATTTCTTGTGATTTTAGATGCAGCCTAAAATATTTGCATGATATTTTGTCTAATTTGTCACAAAAGTAAAAAGTCCTAAAATTCTGGATTTTGCAAGAATTTGGATACTTATTATGTTATGATTTCTTTTTTTTTTTTTTTTTCAAGAGGTTTTTGTTTAAGGGCCCCGGCGCCCGCCAGACAGACAGTGATTTCTTTTTTTTTTTTTTTTCAAGAGGTTTTTGCTATAGGGCACCTGCGCTCGCCAGACAGACAGAGACAGAGAGATAGGAAGTGAGAAATCACCCCCCAGGGGGGAAGGCCACTCCACAATCCCTTCTCCTCCATGCTCCTCTTGGTATGTTGGGCATGCACGCACGCACACGCGCCCGGAGTGAGTTATAGCCACCGGGTCCGGGACTCAAACTGTGGTCGACTACGTGGGAGTCAAGCGACTTAGCCATTACGCTAACTGCTAGTCCCTATGTTATAGTTTCTATATTTTGGTAGTACAGCTCTAGAGTTAAAGCATGGGTTGGAGGTCAAATCCTGGCTCTTCTACTTACTTGCTGAGTGAGTGAGCAAGCCACTTAATCTCTCTGTGCTTTAGATTTTTTTAAGCTTATTTTTAATAAATATATGTTTAATTTTATTTGTTATTATTCAATTTGATGAGAGAGAGAAAAAAAAAATCTCCAGGTTCAGGTCCTCAAACTGGTCAGCTATGGGAGTCTAGCACCTTAACCACCATGCTGCCAGCTCCCTTTTTATTTATTTCCTGTTTGTGTACGTGTGTATCAGAGAAAGAGATAGAGACAGTCAGGGATAGGTACTGTCTATAGGGTCTTTGTGCTGAGATCCTCTCCCTATCCTGAAACCAGTTATGAACATTGATAGGTTCCAAGTAGGCCTGAGACACAATCTGGAATCTTCCCTTATGGTCTCCATCATAATATAGCCTTGCCTGTACTGCCTGCGCCCTTGTGTCTAGGCCTGTGCTTCACTTTTTTAATTTATCAGTTAGATAAAAGTATCTGTTTGATGTTATAATTTTGAAGTGATTTCTCTAATTCTTGTACCACACTTCCCTCTTGAAAAAATTCTCAGTTTTTGGCCTTTGTTAGACTCGCAGGATATTATTCCACTGGACAACACATGAAAGCAAGGATTGTCTTTAAAGGACTAGTGGGATGAAATGATTTGTACTAATACAGAATTTGAATTTTATGTAGTGTAACCTTACATAAATTATGTAGGTAGTTAATTTTTTTTCAATATTGCATATAGTATTAGAAACCCATTAGTTGGTAATAAGTTTAGGTGCTTAGAAAAAAACTGTTTTAAATGGGATTAATACTAGTTAGACAGAGACTTACTTGAATTTTATGTTAAACTAATTTTTTAGTCTCTCTGCTTGCTAAAAGGGGAAGAAAGCCTACCAAGAAATTTGAGGCATTCTTTGTGAAAGAATTTGGGGAGAACTTTAATGAGATGGAAAGGTGGTACTTTTTTTTTTTAAGTTCAAAGATACAGCTCTGCATTTTGGAGCTGAATTAAGACAGAAAGCAAATGGCACAACGTGTTACTATATGTGAAGTTTTACTTTTGCAAAAGCATATTTTAAAAATGAATTGCTCTAAATTTCAGATGAGCTTATGACATTTTCAATTTAAATTTATTTATTTATTTATTTTTTTGAGAGGTTTTCGCTATAGGGCGTGTGCGCTCACCAGACAGACAGAGACAGACAGAGAGACAGAAAGTGAGAAATCACCCCCCAGGGGGGATGGTCACGCCGCAATCCCTTCTCCTCCATTCTCCTCTCGGGATCTTGGGCACGCACGCACACGCGCCCGGCGTGAGTTTTAAGCCACCGGGTCCGGGACACGAACCGCGGTCGACTACGTGGGAGTCCAGCGACATAGCCATTACGCTAACTGCTGGTTCCCCCCATTGCTTTTTCAAAAGGGAATGCCATGCATGTCGGTCAATACAGAGACATCAATCTCCCCGCTTTATCATTCACTGTCTTTTCCAGGCATTTCCCAATAATTATTATTATTCTAATTTTTTAAAAAACAGTCAAATCACTATTTCTCATTTTGCTTGTTAAAAGACTTCACCCATCATGAAATACTTCCCAGACCAGTCCAGTTGAGAATACTATACACGTCATCTTCAACAGATAATAAACCATATCTGTTTCTCACTAACATCCTCTCTATTGTTCACTTGCTATCTTTCTCTATCCTCTTCTCTTTTTTTTTATAGTTTATTTTTTTTATTAATTTTTTTTCCCATCGCAACACACAAATGAATTTTCC